AATTGATATTCATGGCCAATGGGGTTAAAAACTCCTCTAATATGTCCTGGTACATCGCTCCATTCATGTTTCCTTTAATGATGTGTAAAATAGTACTGATGTGCCCCAGTACTGTTTGCAGAAAAACAGCCCCATATCAGGATGCTCCCACCTCTCACCTTCCTTCTCCAAACATGACAAGTTAACTTATTGACCAATAAGGATCAGCGTATATTGTTCCAAAAGAGTTATGATGCACATTTCTGTGCTTCTTTTTTAGCAGAGGAGTTTTGCATGGGGTGTAGAAAATTGTAATGTATGTGTATGGGATGTAGGCTATTTTATTATGCATTTAATTTTCTATTTTGAATTCTCAAATTCATAAAATAAAGCCAATGTTTTGGTTAATTCTATGAGTTCTCCTGTAAAAAAAAAAATTCCTACAGCTTAAAGGATACACTGACCAAGCATTTATCTGCTATACTTATAACTCACATTAAGGAAGTGTTGTTCCTAATTTAATTAATAATTTATTCCATCCTAGGGAAAAGCAATATTTTATGATGCCGTCTCTTCCGCTTCTCCAATGTCCTCTGTGCGAAAAAACAAAACAAAACAAAACTGTGGATCTTAAAGGGATGTTACTATTAATTAATTGATGAAATCATTAAAAAATGATTAATTAATTAATCATGTCATATTTGTGTATTTAATATTGGCCCCAAATAGCATTCCATAGTTTTGTTTTGTTTTGTTTTGTTTTTACAGCCTCATACAATTCGGCATGACATATTGTGGCTACAATAAACTGTCAGACAGTGGCACTGGACATATTACTGATCCTCACTCGAGCCAATATGCACAAGAAAAATTGCTTACATTCAAGGTCAGAATTGTGGGTAGCTCATACATGCCTGTTTCTAACAAACTTTTGGTCATGTGTCTAAGCAGCACATCATCTAGGTATTAACTCATCACTATGTCTGCATAAGTCAACTTTGAATATGGCCCATATTGAGCCAGCCAGGAGTGTAAAAATCAAATATTTTGATAACTCAAATACCAAACTTGCACAAACCTACAATCAAAACAGTTCAATTACTTATTACTAGTGGATTCCCTAAAACAATAAAAAGACATAATTTACTAAAGAAACAGGCCCGCAAGACTAGGGTTTATAGCAAAGATGATCTCATCTTCCATTACCACAAAAACATGATAATTGAATCTCTCTTCAAGAATAATGCTTTACAGGCTAGTGTATTGAAAATAAAAAATAAAAAACAAGTGTAGTGAAAGAAAAAATGAGGTCCCTAGTACTTCCAAGATGAATTTCCAAACCATTTTCCACAGTCACAGCAATCAGTGTAAAACCCCAGTAATGCTGTGTGTCATGGTTTGAGTTGGTGAATTAAGATGGGAGTGTCACAGTAGTGGCGCAAGTAATGCTGACACCTCACTTCTCCAGGGTCTGGGAGTCAGTCTTGAGCTCTGGTTAATGTCTGTGCAAAGTTTCATTGTTGTCATCTCACCCCAATATATCCTTTAAAAACTAATCAGTACTATTTGTACATACTATTTGTATTATTCAGTACTACTATTTGTACATACTATTTTAATGTATTTTCATTGCCCAAAACATGAATATCATGGTGAAATATTGTGGTTACAACAAGCTGTCAGACAGTTGACATACAGGGCCATATGCGATTTGTCTTACACACATGTAATGACATGTAGTGTCAGATTTCTGTTTTGTGCATGTAAACACTCAAAGAACTATGGGATGCCTTTCAATGTAAATACATACATACATACTGTACATACATATAGTAAACACAACACTATTCATTAATCATATCGTCCATATAAAGTCCACAGAAATTATTTTTTTTAATCACAAAGAGGAGATTGGAGCATCATAATCAGAGACAATACTTAACTCAATGAGCGAATTTTATATAATTATGATCTACACTTACATGAAATGAGTTGTAATGAACCATAGCAGATGATTGCTTGGTCAGCTTATCCTTTCAACTGTGGGACCATTTTCTTGATAGAACACATAGAATTGGCAACAGCATGGCTTTTTTTTATTAATTTGACAAATCAGAATTAAAAGCATGAAAGAATTAATTTGACAAGTGACTTAAAATCGTGATAATATAGTCTACTGCACAAAATAAACCTTTTTCCTGATCTGCTTGATCAATTGCTGCACTTCATAATAGTAGATTCAGTATTTTTCTTGCCTGCCTAAGCTTCATGCTTTCTGCTGCTGTACCTCTAGTTCCTCAGACAAAAAAAAGGATGTGTTGTGATTTAATGTGATAATTACAACTAGGACTATTCATGGAGTAATATATTGTTAATATACTAGACTCCTCTTTGATGTTTATTTTGAATATTTGCCATCTTCTGAGGTGTATATCATCATATTAATATTTCTCTTTATTTGTTCGTTTTAAAATTGTATCTTTCTTTGCTTTTTCAGCCATGATATTTTTCAGGCTTAAAGGCAAGTGCTTGTCTTTAAAAGTGGTGGTATGCTACTGAAAAATCCCATCTGGAACACGTCTACTCAAGAACCTCTGAATACGGCAAGAAATTGAATATGGCCCATACAATGGAACTGTCCAACCAGTCTGAATACTGATGTGCACAATTTTGGTGTTAACTCCTAAGTGCATACTATGTCTCCATGTCCTCTTATGCAGTACATCCTTTGTATTCGTCCTCCCATATACAGCCAGCTGGGGGATTTAACACAATCAGTGCTCTCCAACCATGTACTACTCTGCCTCAGGTGCACATACATGCATCTGAGTGTTGTCTGTCGTGCTGTTAGAGTTTCTGTCCCGGGTGCTATATTCACCGTGACAAATTCCCAAGGAGGTGGTACCCTTAGATGAGGCCCTCACAGTTCCCTCTTTAGTCCCTGTTTGGGTTGCTGGAGGAGGCCCTGTAGAAGGCATGCAGGCGTAAGAGAGCCATCAATGTTGCCATGCTGGGACCCTGACTAATGTTTGACACATAATGCAAATTCCAGGTGTCCAGAATTTGCCTCGTGATCTGGCGGTTTGAATTCTTGGCTCTGAACATCCACTGCAACGTCATGTGATAAGGGTGAAGGGCTTCCCAATGAGATAGTGTACTATATCCTGCACTGCCCATTTTATTTATTTTATTTATTTTTGTTTTGTGGGCAAGAGGTTATGGCTAAGATTACAGAGTGCTGTTTACCACCCACCTGTTGTGATGGTGTGGTCCCTTTTCCAATGTCTGTTTGTAGCATTAATGGTTAGCTGAAGTCCTGGTTGACGAACATCCGGTCTGATGTCAGGGATTTATTTAGCCTGCAAAAGGCAGCGTCAGCTGCTGAGCCCCACATTACCTTCTCTGGCTGTCCATCCTTTGTGAGATCTAACAGGTGGGAGGCTACAGAGAAGACATCATGCACAAAACACTGGCAATATGCCTCCAGACTCAGAAAGGCCCAGATGGAATTTTCTTGGATTGGTGTTCAGTCAAGCCCCACAGTTCATTTACAACAACTTCTGAAAACACACAATGTGCTTGTTCCAAAATTCTCAGTGGAAAACAACATCATTTAGGTATATGATGGTGTAGCAATAATGGGGCTGGAAGGTGATATTCATGACCTGCTGGAGGGTTGCAGGGGCCAATCTTTTGGAGCCAGGAGAAACTGTGAGGCCCAAGGTAAAGCTATACTGCAGCCTTCACAGGCATTCTATGAGCTCATCCATATGTGGTAAGTGTCAAATTCTGCCACCTTGTTTATCCTACAGAAGTCATTCCAGAAGCAGTGAGATCTAGGCCTTTGGCACTATGACGATGGGGCTGGACCATGGGCTTGTGGATTCTTCAGTTGCAACCAACTGTAATATTTTGCTTACTTTCTCTATAGCCTGTACTCATGCCTCAGACAGATGACAGGGCCACTGCCTGACCACCACTCCAGGTGTTGTTTCTTTGAATATAATACAAAGTTTACCCAGGATTATTCCACGATTGTAAAGGATTTGAATGATTTGATACAGTAATCCACAAGAACCACATACTCAAAGAAGCAAAGGGATAATCACAACCCCAAAGAACCCTTTGAAAACTGTTGTTCACCTAGTTGTTAGCACACATATAAAACTGTTACTGACACGATCTGAGATTTGCTCTTCTGAAACATGAGCAGCCCTGAACAGCCCTATCTGTTACACTGGATGGTTTTAGCTAGAGGAAGTCTGTCAAAGAGTGAAGCTTGCTATCCTTCGCATAAACTAAAGCTCTTAGCCTTAAATACCCTGTCACAAATGGTTTCTCTGTATTTCACCAATGAATAAATACCAATCCACTGACATACATATTATTCTGAGCTGGAAGTGATGAGCTACAGGTGGTTACCTGCCCCAGAGCTGGCTTTACTTAACAATTGACACAAGCGGCTGCACAGGTCCCCACAGCCACCAGGTCCACAAACAAAGGTTTGTCTAATGATGCATCTTGTCATGTGAATGAGGAATGATGCAAACCAATAATACTGTACCGAAGCCAGGGGTGGGGAGGGATTGGCTACCACTGCAGCCCAAGCTTCCGCAGGGAGGTAGTAGTTAAGGCTGAGGGAACTGGCCAAAAAATTAAGTTTGAGCACCTTGAAGATATGTTTCTGCACGTTATGTAACAAGAATGGGGATTTTTTTGATGTGCAATTATAGCAATTGTATTACAGAGTTATACAACCATATTTCATAGTTATTAAAGATACATGGTAGGTTAGGACCTTCAAACAGTTGAATGACTACTGTTGGCAGTGTAATGCTGTACACAATGGCAGGAAAAAAAAGATGAAAAGCACCCTTTTGCAATACATTGGTCTGCGTTTTTGATTTGGCACAGGTTTTACGCTGGATGCCTTTCCTGATGAAACCCTCCCCAATTTTATTCGGGCTTGGGACCGGCACTGAGAGCACACTGTTGCACGCAACCCCAGTGGCTAGGGTTGGTTCCCTGGCCAGGAATCAAACCCGGGTTGCAGCAGCGAGAGTGCTGTGGCCTAACCACTAGTCCTCCAGGGACCCCAGTTACTGCATGACGGATGATTTTTTAAAATGTTTTTGTGTGTGTGTGTTTTTTTGTATTTACCTTAAAACCTGGTATAGTCATTTTTATTTGGTCTGGGGACAATAGCTTTCTGCAACCCCTGTTAGAAAATAAATGAACAATGCTTTCTCCTGCATGATTGCTCAAAGAAAAAAAAATACAAGTGGCACATGGCCCTATTTAACTAACACAGTCTGACAGGAAAATATGAAAAGTGTTTTTGATTTGGAAGAATCTAACGTCATCCATGGTCTGCCCTTTCAACATTTCACCTTTAAGCAAAAATGATGCTGATGGTCGTTCCATATGTCCAGACAGCAGAATGATAAATTATCATGTATCCCAAAAAGAGCAGCAGCTAATCTGTTATTTAACTTATCTGAGAATAAAAACTACAATAATTGTTACTAATAATGTTTTGCAGGCCATAACCACAAAACAGCTGACCTGTCAGGTGACAATAACATAAACAACTTTTATCGTGCACTTGCAAAGGCTTTGCTATACCTGCTGTAGGGATTCCATACACTCCTGAGAAATCAACAATTCCTACTGCTGGTAGGAATAGGCTGACATGATATGGCATATAACATGACTCCCTCACCCCAATTCCAGTCCTCGAGGTCTGGAGTCTAGCACAGTTTCGTGAAAATTAACTCACAAGGGTTAATATATGTGTTAGATCAGGAAAATCTCCAAATTGTAATGGACTCTGAACCACCAGTTGTATGGCAAGGTGTGTTATATCAGCCCAGGACTGGAATTTGGGAATACTGGTATAGAACATACTCTCAAACTTGTGATGACCAGGTTTACTGACTCAAAATGTGTTCTGAGATCGAAAGAAAGAACAACATATGCATTTATTTTTTATGCCGAAAGAATGTGCCCAAAAAAGCATCCCCACTAGACAATATTAGAGATAAAAGACTAGCACTAGAACCAGATTCTACCAAAAGCAACGACATCTTAGTAATAGCAGATTTCTGTACAAAATGTGGTCCAATATTCTTCAAGGGCCAGACTTTAAATCTCAAACTTTCCAAAAAACACAAACAATTGAAAACTGAGCTCAAGGTCATATGTTAATATAAGCCTGTCAGGTAGTGAAACCAGTTACCATCACTTGAAACTCAATGAAAATTGTCTATAGACTGCACACATATAAATAGTTTATTCAGAAACTTAAATTCAATCAGATTGGTGAAAATCTTTACATGTAAACCTCGATATGATTTTACAATACATTGTAAAATATTGTATTTAAGGGTTTTTCTTTAAAATCTGAATGATTGTTCCCCCCATTTTTGCCATTTTACCAATTCCCAGTCAGTAGCTAATTCTTCCCTATCATAACAGCAACCATCCTGGGAAGGTGGGGAAAACATGTGCTTCCTCTGAGAAAGACACCTCCTTTTCAAACTGCTGCTCATGATGCATCACAGGGCAGTGTAAGACACTTTGAGGAAAGCTCTAACTGCCGTCAGCATACAGTACATGAGCTCAGAGATGCCCACGATGGTCTAGTGCTGCTGTGATTGGCAGGGGAGAGAGAATGTGCCCAGAGTGTACAGTTAACATAGTACAGCAAATGCTTTTAATCCAAAAAATCAAAGACAGTTTGTATTTTCAGGATATGACACTGATAAGCATATTTTATAGTATTCCACTCCTGCAGTAATGCTTGGACAGATGAAGTAACAGCAAAGTGCAGGGTTTATTTGGCAGAAGCAAAAAAGAACAGATCCAAGCAAAATGAATTTAATGACAAGACAAGTTAAACAAAAATAAAGCAAAACAGTGCAAGGTTAAGAATTCAGATATACTGAAGATATCAAGCTAAAGGAGGTCACAGCACCAAAAAAATAAAAAACCACCAAAAAACTCAGGCTGTTTAGACTAGGCAAAACCATGACTTTGCAAAGAGATGGTTAAAACACTTGCTCTCTTGCTCCATTGATAACTTAATTTATAATTCATAGGTCAAAGCACCCCACTGTGAATGAACAAGAAATACAGATGCCCAGAGGTATTTTTAGAGCAGATGGTGTACATTGAATGGCTTTTTGCTCCTTTAAACGTAATACTTCCTGAAAAAGAAGAACAACTTATCATTACAAGCAGAATTCATATTCTATATTGTATACAGTGGCAATGCACTCCCTGAACTTCTCAATAAAGTCTCTGGAAAAATTTAGTTACAGCCAAAATCTGATGTGTGAACAGTCTTCCCATTCTGAGATGCCCATGAATGTCACTTGGGATTTCATTAACAAGAATGCTTTTTTTCTACCTTCTTGTGTCAACAGGGAAAACAGATTATTCAGCAGGTGCTAATGGCCCTCTCACTATCTGCAGGAGTAAATCACCCTCATCAGAGATCAAAACTGAGCAGTTTTGAAAATAGTTTCAAAATCTTGCACAAACGTGTAAAATAGTATGGGGAGGAGGCCCATCGTTGCTGCAAAGTGTACCAGATTTTCATTGAATACCTTTAAATGAAGATGCAAACTTGCATTATGAATCTGAATAGCAACACTCCAAAAGGTAGTTCGGAGATCTCACACACACACACACACACTACTTGCTCTGAGGTGATCTTTAGGTTTAAACCAAACAGAAGTTCTGGGAGCAAAAGGAGGCAGACAAAGGAAAAAGGCTCAGCCCATTCAGGCTAGGCAGGTGTATTCTTTGTTTAATGCTCTTTAATATACACTCACAGAACACTTTATTAGGAACACCTGTACACCTATTCATTCAATTTTCTAATCAGCCAATTGTGTGGCAGCAGTAAAATGCATAAAATCATGCAGTTATGGGCCAGCAGCTTCGGGTAATGTTCACATCAACCATCAGAATGGGGGGAAAAATATGATCTCAGTGATTTGACCGTGGCATGATTGTTGTTGCCAGATGGGCTGGTTTGAGTATCTCTGTAACTGCTGATCTCCTGGGATTTTCACACACAACAGTCTCTAGAGTTTACGCAGAATGGTGCAATAAAGAAAAATCATCCAGTTTAGCGGCAGTTCCAGGTCTTTAGACGGAACCACCTTGTTGATGACAGAGGTCAATGGAGAATGGCCAGACTGGTTTGAGCTGACAGAAAGGCTACAGTAACTCTGAAAAGCACTCTGTACAATTGTGGTGAGCAGAAAAACATCTCAGAATGCTTTTCAAAACAACATGTCAAACCTTGAGGCGGACGGGCTACAATAGCAAAAGACCATGTTGGGTCCCACTTCTGTCAGCCAAGAACAGAAAGCTGAGCACAGGTTCATCAAAACTGGAGAGTTGAAGACTGGAAAAACATAGCCTGGTCTGATGAATATCGATTTCTGCTGAGGCACACAGATGGTAGGGTCAGAATTTGGTGCCAACAGCATGAATCCATGGACCCAACCTGCCTTGTTTCAACAGTCCAGACTGGTGGAGGTGGTGTAATGGCATGGGGAATGTTGTCTTGGCGCACTTTGGGCCTGTTAATACCAGTCAATCATTGCTTGAATGCCACAATCTATTTGAGTATTGTTGCTGACCATGTGCATCCCTTCATGGCCACAATTTACCCATCTTCTAATGACTACTTCCATCATGATAATGCACCATGTCACAAAGCAAAAGTCATCTCAAACTGGTTTCATGAACATGACAATGAGTTCTGTGTTCTTCACTTGCCTTCCCAGTCACTGGATCTGAATCCAATAGAACACCTTTGGGATGTGGTAGAACAAGAGATTCTCAGCATGAAAGTGCACCTGAAAAATATGCAGGAACTATGTGATGCAATCATGTCAACATGGACCAGAATCTCAAAGGAATGTTTCCAACATCTTGTGGAATCCATGCCAAGAAGAATTGTGGTTCTATTGAGAGCAAAGGGAGGCCCAACCCAGTATTAGTACAGAATTCCTAATAAAGTGCTTGGTGAGTGTATGTAACTACACTATATGGCCAAAAGTTTATGGACACCTGACCATCACGCCCCATGTCTGTCGAACAGCCCATTCCAAAACCATGGGCATTAATATGGAGTTGGTCCCCCCCTTTGCTGTTATAACAGCCTCCAACCTTCTGGGAAGGTTTTCCACTAGATTTTGCCATGAGCATTACTGAGGGAAGGCTCTGATGTCAGGCGAGAAGGCATGGCATGGAGTCAGTGTTCCAGTTCATCCCAAAGATGTCCAGTTGGGTTGAGGTCACGGCTCTGTGTCGATGACTTGTGTTCTTACGCACTGACCTTGGCAAACCTCAGTCATGTCATGGTGGAACAGGTTTGGGCCCCTTAGGTCCAGCGAAGAGAAATCTTAAATCTACAGCATACAAAGACATTACAGACAATTGTGTGCTTCCAACTTTGTGGCAAGAGTTTGGGACAGGTGTCCACATACTTTTGGCCATATAATGTATGTCTACAAGTTTTACTGCATGAATGACAGTGTTTTTGGTCACTATTACTTGAAATGTTTTATTCTAGCAATACAGATATCCCAAGAAATATGGCAAGAAAAAATGACAAAATTAAATGAAAAAATTAATTATTTAAAAATTAATTAAAATTTTTTGTCACTGACCAAATACTAGACAGCACTGCATACACTTGGCTTGGTTGCAGGCACATTAGTGACTTAAATTTGTGTCTTTCCAATCTCTCATTTTATAACTTTACATTTTCTCTGGTTCTTAATGTCAACCTCTAACTCTCATTATGTCTTTCCCTCTTCTCTGTGTTCAATGATGAAAATCTCTCTCTCTCTCTCTCTCTCTCTCTCTCTCTCACTCTCACTCTTTCGATCCCTCATTTTACTAAGATATGAGATGGTTCTTTGTTGTGCGTTACGCAGGCCTGTAATTAGTGAATTGTGTGCTGGGCGTTTTTTCTCACAGAACCTCTTCACAAATAATCAGGCCTTTCCCACTGATGGCCAAAGCCTCTTGACTCTCCGCTCTCAGTAGCTAAGCACCATTCCCGCCC